TTCTATTGAACTATAATATACCTCCAACAACAACAACCAAAAAAAATTAAGAAAACAGAGCAGCAAGATCTCTTTATCTCAGCTGAATCCAAGTGACATAACTGGGAAGAAACAAAGCTATCATATGTAAGAGTCTTCAGAGATAAGTTTTTCCCAGTAACTACTTAGAAACTGCTAACACAATGAAATAGACTGTGAGTCCTCCCCCTCCTCCAGGCTTTTTACAAAGAATTTTTTTCTTGGAAAACCATGAGAAAAACTGCTACTTTTGGTGAATATACATGACACATTTTTACACTGGGTTTTAGCTCTGAACTCACACAAGCACTGACATGGAGAACCACATTCAACAATCGCCTACACGCTATTACAATCTACATGCAGATAACAGCTCTGTACGCTCAGGTTTCAGTAGCTGATCCTGTAATTACCTTGATATACATCACGAACAAAAATCTGAGACAGACAGAAGCTGAGAGCTAATGCTTTAATCCTCAACAATCATTTTGCCTATATTTCATGTGTTTTCAAGCTCATGCTCTAGCTCTGAATCAGCTCTGCCTCATTCACAGGCCGTGTTATCACCTTGGATCCTGGTAACAATTTTAAGCCTCATGAAGTCTTGGGCTCTATTTGTTCTATAGCATTTTTGCCATGGCCCAAGAAGTCTCCTTTCCTCTGGATAAAAAGGACCTGTTTCTATGATCTATTCCTGACATAGTAGATCAAAGATGGGAGCATGCAAATATTCACTGCTTACCCTAGTCAATAGGAACAAAACCAGAAGTGTTGAAGCAAACAATCTTCCCTCTGATAGAGTTCACTTGACTTCCTAGTTGAGTAACTTCTGTCCCGAAGTACAGGCAGACGCTCCTTTGGGAAGAACCAGGTTGTACTGAATGATATCTACCAGTACATTGCTCCTACAAGAGTAGAAACTGCTTCCTGAACTCAAAACGCTAACATGGAAGGAAAGACAGAGCTCATACACACAGAGATATAAATGGCTGAAGCACTACAGTGATATGCTAAGGCTACCACTTTTTTGGAAGTGCCATAACCAATCTGATACATCCTACTTCCCCCACAAACAACATCGTATGCAAAGAATAAGCAGAATTTTTCTCCTGAGATTGCCGTCTAAAACTGCTTTCACCTATATGACTAGTTTAAGTTATTGTTGCTTTTCTTCTTATTATCGAGATGTTGAGAACCTCATCAGCCTCCCAGAGCTGGACTCCAGCCTGGCATTCACCTTCCTTTCTTTAGTTTCTGGGAAGAGAACAGGGGTAATTGCAAACTCTTGTAACTGGAAACCAAGTAAATGATCCATCCACCAAGGAGAAACAACAGTGTTCCGTTAATAGTTTTTCTCTTTTGTTGGATTCAAAAGCAAGCTTGTTTTGGGCACTAAGCTGCCAATATCCCAAAAGAGAAGAGTAGCAGTTACTTGCGAATGTTCTCTGCCATTAAATTTTACCTACTGCAAGTACTAGAAGGAGAGAGTTTCAGGAGCTGTTGTTCATTTTCACCACTGAAGACAGCTAAAGTTTGCAATAACTGCCATTCTTCCAGACACACGAGCAAAGAGGCAGGATGTTATCAGGGCACTGAGATTACAGTCCAGGAAACCCAGGTCTAACATACCAGAAGAGACAGTGGCTGCATAAGGAGAAAAAAACATGTATTTCTGAGTTTTTCTGCTTACAAGTCATCTCATGCAGGACTTCAGCAGGAACAAAGAGAACATTCTCCACCACCCCTTCCCCAGTGGCAAGGGGATATTATCTGCATCTTCCCTCCCCTGGCCTCGATTTCTGGAACCTCTTGTAAATAAGATGCTGTATCTTTGCTTGTTGCATTCAGTTAAGTAGTTCTGCACATAGCAACTTCTCCCAAGCCATTTAATACAGCAGTCTTATCAGCAAGAGCCAGCTTTGGCTTTGTAAGGAAAATAATCAGGTTATATTCACTTAGTTCAAACGCAGTCACTTTAATTTGAAGAGTGTTGACTTGATAAATTTGTGAGAGTGTGAAAGTATTTCACAAACACAACTGTGTTCATGCATCTGTGTATTATATTATTTTTTACATATTTAACTGCTCAGAAGTGCTCTAGATAGTAGAGTAGGTTTCTTTAAAAAAAACATTTCCTCTATCAAAAATAAAAAAGGAACCAGATCAGTGTTGGTGCAGGCAAAATTTGCCCACGTAAATCCCACTTGGGCGATATTTCTTCTGTAAATAATGAATTCACACCTTAATCACTCTGTTTTCTGCAACTAAGTGCTCAGGTAAGTGCTTCCACCACATAGCCCATTGCACCAGGAGTTTATTTTGCATCTTCCTGCCTTCAAGCATACAGCACAAGGACCAGGGCCAGCTCAGCCTGTGGGAGCTTGAGCAAGAGCAAACACTAAGGAAGAGATCTGTGCTGCACTGCTTTTCTGAAATTTTTTTTTTTCTGTCTTTTGAAGTGGAGTAGGAACTCTTTCTTAAATCAAATGAACCTGAAATGTACTTACAGGCCTTCCTGAACACAACTTCAAATACAAATGGCAGCTTCCAGACTCTGACAGAATGACAAGATACTATAAACAAAAACCCCTTCATACGAAAAATATAGCAACAAATTGCAAGAGCAAGAGCAGATGCTATTCTTGTTCTCTCAGTCTAGATCACAGACTGATTAAACCGATTTTGTTGTTTGTTTTTTTAAAACAGAGAGAAGGCACGCTGCTTCCCACTGAAGTGGCAGCTGCAGCATCTCTTTAAAAAACAGGCCTGGGATTCCATTTCTCTATACAGATCACAATTTCATTGACTTTAATTTCCTAAGCCTATCCACTCAAAACCTTATTTTTTTCCCCCCTCATAATACAAAAACCACTTTTCTGTTGAACCAAATCTATACCAAATATCAGGAAGCAGTACCATACACTACCAATGATAACGGGAAGTAAAGTAATTAACAAACACTGACTTACATCCTATTTTCATAGAGCCCTCACGCTTCCAAAATTAAGGTAATATTCCTACCTATTATGGTTGGAATTTCAGCAAGCTAGAAAGAACAGTTGAGAATGGCAGAAAATAATACAGCACTAGAACTTTTTCAGCACCTCTACGGTACCGTACCACATGCTATGTGTCTTCAATTATTTCCCAGGAATCTGTTAGTAAGTTTATAATTTATGTAGGTATACTTTAGCTCAATTTAAAGATGCTGTTATCCAAGATTTAACCAAGTCAGATCACAGTAAGGAGTTTATATATGTCAGTAGATATTAGCTTACTTAGGAGTAAGATAAAAACTAAGTAATTTATTTTAATAAATCGATGGTAAGACTCAAACGAAATCCAAGGAAATTGCTCATTAAACAATAGACCCTATATACAGCAACACAGTCGGTGACAGTTTCGTTTTATTTTTCAATGTTTTCTTTTAATTTTACTTCTGCAGCTAATACAGAGATGGGGAGAAGATTTCACATGCAACCGCAGGTCTCTTCCTTTCAATAGTTCATCTGCAATTTCTATTTGATTCTCATATTACCATCCACAGAAAACTAATTACATAGCATCTTATGTTCTAAAGATTTGACCGGTGCTACCTCTGCTTTGTCATTGGAAAAATAATTTAAAAAACTTAATGTTTTCACTGCCTGAAAAATGCACACACTTAATATTAAATGTATTTAATTTTAAGGCAATTATCAGCTGATTTTTCCATGATCCTGTTGCAGCAATCATCTTACCAGGTTTCATGATAGTGTTAAGCCTCTTTGGCACAAAATAAAACATTAGGTCCATGGGTGGGTATTCCTAATTGTCCTGCTATTTCCAAGGTGATCTGATCTGCTACATGGCTAAAAGTTCTTCTTAGAGAGACTTTTCCAGATGGCAAGAACAAGATGGCATCAGACTTGATGATCTCCCATCATTCTAGGGTACCAGGCTCCCTGACCTGAGGGCAGCCACCTTGTTCATCCACCCCTCTCCCAGGATGCCGACTCACAGTGACCTTAAAAAACACAGCAAAGCTCCTTTCCCGCAGCCCTTGGCTGGAGAGAGAAGGGCACTACTACCCAAGTAAAGACAAAAGGAGAAATATACTCAACTCTAATCGCCCATCGTTTGGTCTCCACTTAGCACACAGGTAGCAATTGCTTCAGAGAAAAGAGGAGGGGAGCAGCTAGATGAAAACAGAGACATTGCAGTAGGGCTGGGTTACAGAAAGGAGTACACCAGGCTAGATGCTGAACTCAACACCAGGCACAGGAACCATCCAGTTGCACAAAACACTTCTCCCAGCGCATTGGTCAACCGCTCACCACCCTGCAAACTTTTCCAACTTGAACTTCAAGTCTGATTATCTCTGCCTTTGCCAATTGCCCTCTCGAGGAGCTAACCAGGCCAGTACCAAGGTCCCCCCGCACACATAAACAGGTTGCGGGCAAACTCAGCAGTCCACCGCAGGAGTTACCCACAAGAGCACTTAACCGGGAGTGTATCACTTGAAGCGCATTCTATTTGCATTAACCCAGAGAAAATGCTGTCAGCATTATGCAGTTCACTAACTAGGAGGGAGTACTCGAGTACATCATGACAATAACCCCAGTGGTATCGCAATTCTTTGACCACATTGCATTCTTAATGATACCCATCAATATTTTGATAATGAAATTAAAGAGTAACAGCATAAGCAACAGGACAATAAAACATTTGTTACATCATAATCACAAGTGATAGGGGAAAATACATATTGATTCCTCTAGATACTCAAGAAAGCAATGACTTCATACAAAGTCATATTTTTGAAAAAAATAAGTTGAAGTGTGCCACATTTCTTTATGTGGATGCCTTAAAAAGGAATTTGTATTTAAGTTCACTAACCATTTGCCATTTTCTCCCAATTTGCTGTGGATTTCTGTAATATCTGAAAGCACTGTTGTTTTGCAGACTCCCATTATAAGAAAAAAATCAATAGGTTTACTTACGCATTAGGTTGTAAATGTGCTTTTCTGCAACATGTTCCGTAAACAGCTTTATAAGGTCATCTTTTAAGTCTCTGTTAAGCTTGGTTTCTATGTAAAATTTATTCTGGAAAATAAGACAGAAGTTTTCAAGTTTGTTTTTCATAATAGCAAGTGAAGTGAGCTTACTTTTTCCCTGAATAAAGACAGTTCAAAATTTTAAAGCTGTAGAATATTTGACCTGCAAAATGCTTCCTTGGTGACTGCATTCATACTAAATAGAACATTCCTATACAACAAAAACACATGTATTTAAAATTAAGAATGCATGTGGTACTATCAGTAACAAACCTATTTACATACAGGTGTGTATATTATTTTTCTTTCTACATCTACAGATATATCTCTGTATCAATCCAGATTGGGGAGTTTGTAGAAAAAACATTTCATTTTAGAACTTTATAAACGCTCCAACACAAAAATAGGGCTGGATATCATGTTTGTAACAAAAGAAAACATTCTTACCAATGTCTAAAAGTGATTAAGCCATTAAAATAGGTACGATACAATAATAAAACATCAGTACAACTACCCAGTTCTGTGGTTCACTGATAATCTCAGAGGATAGCTACTCAGAATTAATCAACTGTGGAAATAAGTGGTATATACAAATCTATACAAAACTGAACTACATTAAAATTTGTACGATTCAATTATCTTGACCTACTCAACATTAATAATAAATTCACCTCTTCAACCCTCAAAGGAAATTCTATTCATGAGTTCCTTGAGGGCCTCTATACCTAACGTACTATTTGGTGTTACTCCTCAGTTCCCAACCTGCAATTAATAGTAAGATTTCTCGTCTGTATTTCATTCCTAAGTGGATTTAATGTTGGAAAAAAATAATTGTTTCAAGACAAATCTCCTATTGTTACAACACTAACATGGAAGTGGAACAACTGAATTCATCTGGACAACTTGTGTAAAAGAGTTAAACAGATTCTGTAACAGAAAATCAACTTAATCAAAAATAACGTACTGGAACACTTATCAGAGAGATTTACTAGAGGAAGGAATATTTTAAGGGAGAAAGGTTTTTCCACACTTTAAATCAAGCTGGTCTCCTATTCGCTAAAGCATTTAATATAATTGGAACAAACCCTCAGAACACTGTTAGAGCAATCTTTACATCTTTTTGTGAAACCCATTCTCTTGGTCATTACCAAAACTATACACATACCGTAATAAATTACCCATGCAGAAACCGTTTAAATTTTCAAGGCAAGCATTCAGCAGCAGTTACTTACTTTTAATGAAAACTGAACCTATTAGAACAAAGGCAATCCGAGGGCTCAATACATGCCCTACTGAAGTTTAGGTCTGTTGCAGTGATGGATAACAATCTTTAAAAGTTTTTTTTTAAAAAACTTAGTAACTTCCTACTGCCGGTTCCCTCCCTGAAGCTACCCTACCTGTTGATGTTTTATCAATGGCTGTTGCTCAGTTCTTTCCCCCTCACCTGGGCCTGTTCTTTGAACAGAGATTGAGGGAAAGGCTCTGCAGACAAAATAATCTGTCTTGTAACAAACACACTAACATCATTTGTAGTATTTTTGGTCAATGGTGATCTGCCATTGCAACAGAAATTCACAGCAACTGAAGATGCACATCTTCTAGGAAGTGTTAAGCTATACAGCATACTACAGTCTTTCAGCACACCTAACTTCCTAAACCATTTCCACCTTGAGCTTCCTGACCACGTACTACCTGCAACACATAGGAGTGACCAGAGCATGTCAGCATAAGTCTACTGCCCTGAATCAAACCTGACAATGTCAAACTATTGATTCTTACGAGTCGACAGATGAGATGCACCTAGCTAAGAAACTAACTTACTCTGTTCTTTTCCCAGCCTCAAGACGTTCTTACATTAAAAGCAGCTGGCAACAACACATGCAAACTGTGATGCTTCCTTTTGTTCCAAGAGTTGCAAAGCCTATACCTTCACTTTCATAACTAGAAAAGCAACAAAAAAACCATCCCAGCAATTTCAAGCAGAAGAGTTATAAGACAGTACTAATACACAGAACAACTGTAAAATACTCCTCACGTTTGCTCACTTGGAAACACCTTTCCAAAAAGGTGTTACACTTGCATGAATTTAAATAGACAATGAAAAATCTTCTACCATAAGTACTTCATTTCCAGTCCACAGCGCTGAAAGGAGATAGCAGAAGAGCTGTCACCTTCCCCAGTCTTATTAGTGGAAAAACAAGAAGATTTTGTGTATAAGATGTCACTATCTAGGCTGTACCACTATTTCTTTAAAAGTGTGTCAAGTCATCTAAAAGGCCTGACAGGTAAAAGGTAAGCAGATACCAATAACTGAGAAAGTCAGATATGATATAAGCATTTCTTCTACAAAACACCATATGATAAAGCAATCTGGCAAATGTTAGAAGACATAATTGTGTTAATATTATTAAGAAGAGATACTTGAAAGAGAAAAAACAGTATATAAGAGTGCTTATCATCTCACATATATTTGTGTATACAAACACACACAAAATGCCCTCCAGCTGATAAGCAATGAAATGCAATACCACCCAGTAAATATTTCAGAGGCAATGAAAAAATTCTTAACTATCCTAAAACCACAGTGCTCACAAATGTCAGGCTCATTTAATGCCCCAAGATAACAGATTTTCAGCTACATCTCTAAGTATAATTAACAATTGCGAACCTATTAGAAAAATGTGTATCATCTAAATGCTGATTTTAATTTTCCTTGAAGTGGAAATATGATTTTTATTCATTCATGTGCACAGCATACTGAGATATGTACAATCTGTAAGCATCCAGAATAACCTCACTTAGATTTACAAAGTAAACACTTACTCACTAGGAATTATTCTAAGGAATAAAGCACTGAGTGCTAAGCTGACTTCTGGCTTAATTTGCTTTATCTGCAGCGTAAGACTGAAAAAATCCATCATCATGTGAAAAAGAAAATGACAAGTGCTCCTAGAGGAAGAAAAAAGAAAACTCAATTGCAAAGTCAGCCCTCTCAAGCATCACTCAAGATAAGCTTTGAAACACACCTTGGTCACCATATACAAGCAGGTTAAGAAAACACCTTTCCTGTATTCCCACCATTCACACACAATAATATAGTTTGGTACATATCAGGAAAAAGAAGAAAAGTGCTGCTGTTGATATCAAAACACACAGAACTAAGCCTAAGGCAAAAGACTATGCCTTTTTTGGCCACCAAGGGACAAAAACATGTTCCAGTTGTACAGAAAACCTTTAGGTTTTCCTCAGCTTCACAGATTTTGAAATATTTAAATGCATATTAAAAGTTTTCCTAAGCAGCAATATAATTATCCTTTCAGAAAAAAGTTTATCAGTGCAACTCAACAGCCCTGGAAACTCCCGATTAAAGCAATCACATCACTACCAAAAAAGGAAAGCCCTGTCATCTCTGATAAAAAGGCAGAGTTCAACAACTTAGTCCTCTTCACTTAAAATTACATTAAAAATACCTATTAAAGTAACTGCAAAGCTGTAATTTATACTGCAGAATAATTAGGCTTTCACCTCTTGCAATTATTTTTAATCGTATTTTCTTGTCCAAATAAAGGAAACTGCTGCTGCTGCACGAGAGGAAACTTGATTAGACACTACAATGTAAAACTGCAAGAGTAGCTGTACATAAAAGTACTTTTAAAAGCACACGGAAAAAACTAAGAGGCTAACTTTTTTCATCCTGATTTCCCTAGAGGTATTTTCCACATTATACATAACACTGATTAACCAATTATTTCAGAGAAAAAGTATGAGACTTAATTTGACATTAGTCTTCAAAACCAGCTACATAGCTGAATCAAATCAGCATTGCTTTTGGCAGCAAGAGGAACTAACACAGAAGTCACTAACTCTACTTAAAGGGGGTTTATAAGAAAGACGGGGACAGACTTTTCAGCAGGGCCTGTTGGATAGGACATGGAGTAACGGTTTTAAACTAAAAGAGGGTAGATTTAAACTAGACGAGGAAGAATTTTTTTACAATGAGGGGAGTGAAACACTGGAACAGGTTACTCAGAGAGGTGGTAGATGTCCCATCGCTGCAAACATTCAAGGTCAGGCTCTGAGTAACCCAAGCGAGTTGATGTCCCTGCTCATTGCTGGAGAGTTGGACTAGGTGGCCTTTAAAGGTCCCTTCCAACTCAAACTATTCTATGATAACTCTCAGGGGTGACTTGAATTAAGTCACTTAAATGAGAAAGTGTCTGCAGGAACATTTTTATTGTCTGAACAAATCACTAGTCCTGCTTTTAGGAAGTTTCTTTAAAAGGACAGAGTAGTTTCCCTTTTCTTTGTTCTCAAATAAAAAAAAAAATTACTGTCTAACTATTCATTTTACAGGTCTGTTTATTACTCATTAATCATTTTTACTATGTTCAGACATCAGTTAGACTCAAACTCTAAAAAAGAAACAATGGGATACAGAGCATTCACCATTTGAAGATACAAACATCACATCACAACATTGTACAAAGACAGATATGGAAATCTATTCATCAATTATACCTTGTCTGGTCATATAGACAAAGTTTATAATGATAAAACCTGTCTGTTTATAAGTCTATCATGAACATTTTTTTCGATGTTCATTACTGCAGTCTTAATCATTAAGGATAGATTTTGACCTCTGTGATGGAAGAGCCTCAGTGACAGAACTGGGCATTCAATAAAAGTACACCCCTGAACAGCTTATCTCCATTTGCAAATGGATGTTAAATTATGAGACTACTTAAACACCTGCCTGCAATAAACAAGTTAAGCACACACAGGTGAAAAAATGGCTCGCATTTAAAATATCTGAATGCAATAGGGATGAAGAGTCTCCTAGTTTTTCCCTAGCATTTCAGGACAGGAACCAGAAGAAAAATAAAAAAATCATCACCAGGAACACATCCCTTATCTTACAAGTGAAGCTGGAGCAACTGGATTTCATTCTGTGTTAACTAGATAAAAGAGCAGATTAGAAGACAGCCAGTTTAAGAAAGGCAAATTCCTCTTTTAATGCAACAAATCTGTATGGTAACACTACACCAAAAGACTGTACCAAGCCACCTGGTTTCAGACAGGTTCACTGAAACGTAGGAGATCCTTCTAAAAGATATTGCTTCCCAAACTCTGGGAAGCTACCAATGAGAATAGTTTTGAAGACTTTGAGACTTATTTAGATTAAATAAGTTTAAATATTTTTTTCTTTAAAAAAAAGTTTCTTTGCCAACAAATATTTCCTGTTTTTTTATTTCTAAGTGATGCCAATGCAAGGATGGTTTCTGGAAGAAGGACAAATTTCAAGCTTAAGTTATTCATTACCATAAAAAAACCCAAACAATAAAAGTCCTGGCACTTTGACAAAAATGATGCAAATTATAAACTTCTTCAGAGGTATAGAAGACTTCATAAATTATAAAGTCAGCATGACAAACATTTATAGCCAATGGTTTCTGAATCTCTGCAAGTATGCCTGACTCTGCTATGAATGTAAGTTTGTCATCATCCAGTCAAAGCTCTAAATCACTTTATCAAGTGACACAGACATTTCCAAGAGACGTTTCTTTCTGTCTTGTCTGAATTTGTGCAATTTAAAAGCAAGAAATAAGCATCTTTGTAACCTGCCCAAACTACCAAGCCAACATATAGCAAGCCAATAAACGACCTCTGTTCAAAAAGTTATAAATAATGACCCAATTATTTGGGATGGCTTTTTTCCAATCAAAATAAAAACCATTCTCCCCAATCCCAGGAAAGAAATATTAGAGCAGAAACCAACTGCGAAACTCTACGTTTAAAAGCACAGATTCTCCTCCCTCTCCCCACACAACTTGACCAGTACTGTTACGCAGGTAGCAAAACCAGGCATAAATCATAAGGTCTACAAATTAAAAATCATTATAGCTGCATTTTATTCTTTTCACTTTCAGTCAGCATCTTGTGTATGGACATACTTTATTTGAAAAGAATTTTCTAAAACTTACCATATATATGAAAAGAGGCACAATGCTCTGCAATGCTCCCATATACTGTCCAAGAGCTACGTTAAATCTTTCAATATAGAGATCTGGAGGGCTGGCCTGCAAGAAACCGTAAAAGTCAGGTTGTAATTTGAACAAGAGAAAGATCTGGAACAGCATGGGCTATGCTTTCATAGCAAACTCAAAAAACTACAAAGTATTTGATACACTAAGTCCACACAAAGCAAGCCACACATCATTCCAGAGTTTCTGCTATAACTCCCTCCAGCAAAAACAGTTTTCTTCAGTACCTGGTTTTTACCTAGGACTGTATGTCAGTGCCCAGCAAAAGGCCCATTCAATAATAAATACTGTATGCCTGTAACAAACTAGCATTTAGCATATGCAAATAAAAACACTTATTAAAGACCAGACCTTCGTTTTGAAAGAACTATCTGTCACGTCTAGAATCCATAACCAAATTTCAACAAGTGCTGCGGTGTGTGCTCCGACCCCCCTGCAAGTTTTTACTCCAAGACAGCAGGGTGGCATTAAGCTGCTGCTTTGCATCTGAGCTGGCAAGCGGCTCATCCTCCATCTCCAGGGAGCACTGTCCTTCACAAAAAACATTTTTAAGTTTTTGCTGGGTCACCTAAGGCAAGGCAAGGCAAGGCAAGGCAAGTATTCAGGGCACTGAGTTGGAGGGACTATGAAGCAATGCCTTCAGAAAGAGCTCTGCACCTGGCGTCCTGCACTCTAGATCAGGCTCATGAATATCTCCTGCGGTGCTCCAACACACAGCATTACCCTGTAGCCCCAAGCAAAACTTTGCTATACAAAAACTGAACGTGCCAACTTTATGATAGGCCTCGCAGAGCTCACAGTGACAGCGCTGCTGTTTTCTGTGTACAACACCAACTTTCCCAAAGAATAAAATAAGGAAGCTAAAAAGATCTGTTCTGCCCCAAGCGTAGGTAAGTTGAGAAGGGAACGAGAAAAATGGGAAGCACTGATCACTGTTTCTTTTATAAATATTTATTTGGAGGGATGCAGGGGAGCTGAATTAGAGCGTTCAGGAGTGCACTTACACACCCAGGGATGGAAGTGAAGCTGGGGTAACGTGTTCTGCCACTATCCCCCTCTCCATCCCAACCCACCCACGTACAGTGCTCTGTCTCTGGCCCAAATCCTTCTGCTGTCCCAACTATGGTCTTCTCAGAGGGGGGTGGATAGCTGCCCAAGTATCTACTGTTCATATGCATACATACACACGCCTATACACACCCAAGGACAAAGTGTTGCTTGCTAGTAAGAAGCAAAACTTCTCTTCCCTTGCACCATTTTCCTCTCTGACAGTGCCAAGCCAGAAGAGGATGGAGAATGCAGGAGTGACTGGGACCTTGCAGGAAAAGAAGCTCAAAGATTTTTCTAAAGCTAAAGCATCTGTGGCGTGAGAAATGCCCTAGGCAAGCTGCACCTCAACCACCTTATCAGAACTTAAAGCTCTTTCTTATCTTTATGAAGCAGTTTTCTCAGCCTTTGTATGGACATTCACCAGGGGTCCTAAGAGAACAGTTAAAATTCATGTTGACTTTTTGCTCTATTAAGTATTCTAAATTTATATAAGTTTTTTTTTCTTTAAACTACTTTCTTTTGCCTCCCTCCCTAATATGCTTAAGTAACACGCGTGTAATTTTCACAGTAAACATCGATACATAGCAGACATTTCAGAAAAGAAAGCAAGACTGGCAAACGAATAAAGAGTGTTACTCCACATGCTGTTGCCAAAGGTTATATGGTTATTCCTCATTTTGATAATAAGTTTTTAATCTTACTGCAGATGCAGTTCTCAGGGCTGGCCAAGCAAATTTTAGTTCAAAATGCCAACAGTGTATAAAAGTGGCTATGAAGTCCAAGGACTCCCTTTCATATACAGTTACATATACAATTTATTGCAAATAACATGCAATGAAATCTGCATTTCTAAGCAGTATGTATTCCTGCTTCACTCCTTTTTAACCTCAACTTTAAATATGGTTATACTCTCTGATTTGTAAAGACATGGTATACAGCTTCTAAGATTAAAGGCAAAGGAAAATTCTACTTCAAAGAACATGTCAGGCAAAAAGGAGACCACAGCCTGACACAGGGCATCCCTCATCTCTCACTGACAGTCTGTACTTTTCATTAAAAAACAAAACAAAAACATAAAGAGAATTTCTCTAGACAGTGTGTGATTTAGTCCCATGAACAGATTCTAGGCAATGGTATACAGCCATTCTGCCACTCTTTTTACAGGAGACATTAAGGATTGGTGTACTTTTCCTCCACTGAAGATGAAAACTCTGCTAGCTCACCTCACAAAGCCTGTGTCATATTAAGGGAGATGTTTTAACAGGGAACAACAACGGCATAACCAGCCATTTCCCGAGAACAACCTCAAGAGTCCTTTAATGGAAGGATACCTGGAAGCTGTTCACCACCACCACCACCTTGCAACCAGGTGGAAAACAACTGCTCCAGATAAAGACAAAATAGCCAAGAAAAGTCCTGACAGCTTCAGGGGAAGTGGTCACTAATGTCAAGCAAATATCAGGTCTTGGTCTTCACCTCTGGAACACAAAATCACGGTGTTAACCGCTTTATCCGCATGAGATACCTTTCGGTTTTATTCTCCTGATAGTGTTTCATGTCAAGCCTCAACAGTCAAGACACTAACAGGAAAGTGCAGACACAGAACCATCTGTTTTCAGTTCATTAAGGTATTATTGTATGGCTGCTCAAAACTGCTAGACTGAAATAGATTACACTTTTGCTAGACTCAAACTACTTGTTTGAGCATAAGAACTTTCTTTACATCTCTACATTCACATTAATAAGACAGGAACTGGAGCGGGACTAGCTTTACGTAAACTACATGAATCCTATAATCTAAAATGCAGTGCATGGCACTAAATTCATGCGTAAATAGATGTTGCTAAAATTCTATTAAACGGTCATCACTAGAGTAGAACTTGCATTTAAAATCTATACTTATTCAGCTATAGCTATTATTTAAAAAAAAAAATCAAAAATAAAGAAACTCCTTAGGTTGACATTTTTCACCCTTGGTCCTAGTCCAGAAGAGGTAACACATACATTCAGGTGTTTTAATTACAGGGGGTTGAGTGAAATTAAGCATGACATTTACTTCTTACAACCCCTCAGAAAATATTAAGTCTTTAAATCCATTCCCATCTTACCTGAGGCATGTATTACAGAAGCTATTCAAAGAAAGAAAAATACACTGCTAGCCTAAGGTTTTCCAGGAAGGAAGAGGATCCTTTGTTCCTTCACTCCCCATCCTGAATCCTATCAAACTGTCAATTCAGTTCTTTGGGTTTGTTTGGTCGGGTTTTTTTTCTCTAAGACGCTCTATATGGGGAGACAGCTCAAATCCTCTCCTACATTTGCTCCCAACTACCACTCATAGGGTTAAGAACAGTTTTCCAGTAGCAACTATACAGTGCGTCTGTCCACGGGAGCACTGAATCTTCGGTCAGGTTTCTCAAACTGTGATGCAGTTGCATTTGCTTAACATCTTCAGCTTGGTTTTGAGTCAACTACTTCTTAGCATAAAATACTATGGCTGCTGTTAAAAGCTGATGTTAAAGACATCGTTTAATCTCCTTACACACCATAGTGGACATCTCAGCACCAAGAGAAATGTGAAGTAACAAGAAAACACATTTGAGAAAGGATGACATGGAAGACAAACATCTTCAAACAAAACAAGCAATTATAGACCCAGTATACTAAAGTACCTTTCCCTTATTTGAAATCTACTATCTAGGCATTTCAATGAACTTGCGGGCAAGAAATCATGTATGTGAAAAAGATGTGGTTTTTTCAGTTTGAAAACCAGTTTGAATATCATTCTTTAACTGAACATACAAATGAAACCAGAAGACTTGCTGCTGGCTCAAGACAGCTCAGAAATGGCTCACAAGAAAGAAACACTAACAACAGTTCTTTGCTTGAGGAATACAAAGTTAATCTGTTTATGAACAGTCATCCGGTACAATCAGCAATATATTCAGTTAATCTATTCAACATTCCTATCTTGCATGGGCAGTTTCACTTTTCTGGGAACATGCTCACTGCCAAAATGCCAGCATACGTGCTGCAGCATCTCTCCCACGTCTGCCAAGTGAAAAGGGAGAATGGTTACAACTACACAAATTAACCTGCTATTCATGTAAGTGGCCTGAATCTTTTAAGAACGAACACTGCTTTTCTCCAGAAAATGTAATTTCTTTACTTTGCCTTGCAGACAATTTCTGTGATGCCCAGGTCTACCTCACTAGACAAGGGTACTACTAAAACTTTTTATAAAAACAGACATCAAGCCAAAGTACAATTCATTCAAAGACCAACTGTGTCTTCCTACTCGAGTCTGCACTCAAAACTGTTCAAAGCTGTACGGCATCGTGACATTCTCTCATGTAATTGTCTAAGAGCAGGGTAGGCCATTTCCATTCTACGTGTTTGTACAACAAAAAGTCATTGTATCTAAGGACCATCAAAACTCTGTTTAATAGTAAGAAATCTTCAGAACCTTTTTCATCTAGTACATACATATTCGTTTCTGCCATATTTACTTGTATCTTTCTGTAATTGTATCAGGATCTGCAGCACCCAGTGTAGTGTGGCAAGGAACTAAAAATGACTGCAGGAACACAAGACTTTTCAAAAAGCTGCAGGCAAGGATGCTTTTCTCAGGTTAGTTTGCTCCTCACAATGTCATTTTTAATGACAATTCTGGCAATATGGTGACTCTACCTCAAATCAAAAGTCATCTTTTCCATGTCCACACATGAAGATACACACATTTCTAACACTTCTGGTTTCTGCCATCTGAATTCTAATACTGACCATTCATTTGATCTGATTCAACTCAGCGTGATTCACAGCAGTAAAGGCTTGTTTCACACACAATTAAGCAATGTTCCCCCAGCAAAACTGATGAATAAATGCCTATGGCAGTGGATGTTTTGCTCTTTTTATTCCTTTTAAATATTACGGATCAGATAAATGGCCAGTCTGAGTCTCCTCTTTAAAAAACAGACTGTCGATACTAA